AGTAATCTGTGAAGAGAGATCCAGATTTTTTTACCCGATACTTGCTTAACAATATCAGATACCACTTTATCGGTAATATTGGGTAAACTTTTATCTTTTACAAAACCCAATTTTTTTGCAATCTCATAAGGGATAATTGGACATTCTGAACCCGAATCACAGACTACTTCTGTATCCCTACCATTAATCGATGTTGATAATTTTTTCACTGATTCTATTAGCGATGCAATTTCATTATCATTCTCTAGTAAATTCTGATGAGCCGGCCCAATATTGCTATTAGCTTCAGTCGTTGTAAATGCGAAATTATTATTTATTAATACTAATTTAAAAATGCATAATTAAATATATTGTTATAATAAAGCATCACAGAGAGAACTTTTTCTTGCGAAATTAACAAAGTACCAGTTAAAACTATATTAGATACATCTGAAATAAGTAGCAAATATATAGAGTTATAGCAGAGTATTGCAAAGCAATGGCCTAGAGGGCCTACGAGATAGGTTAACCGAATATGGTATTGTTAACAATATTAAAACATCGGAAGCATGGTTACGGTTTGCAAAATATTATCCCCAAAGTATGTACGCAAGCGTTTATTAAAACTAGGATATGAAATAAATAGTAGAGATTACGGGGAAAATTTTGTATTTCGTGTCCCGCCTTGTCAAGATAAAATCATTCGAAGCCAGAACTTATTAGTTAAATCTGAATTTAAATCTAATCACGTCTTTTTTTTGAGAGTCGTGCATCAATAATTATTCAGCGGACATATCGTTTATGGAAAAAAAAAATAAATTCAACTAAAATAATCCAGCATACAAGACAGAGATCGATATTATCAACAGGTAGACAAGAAAATATCACATGGTTGACCTAAATTTGAATCGAGAAAATTAGTATGTAATACGTAAAACAATAGGCAAATTACTGCTCAATACGTACCGATAAATATGACCATATATACGACACAATCCAAATACTAAATTTATTATATTCATGAATAAAATCACAGGTAATATAACCGGAGTGTTCGATCATGCATAGTTGAGAGGATATTTATCCTGGGTTACGTCCCGAACTTTGTATTTATTTTTACATATATTAATAAAAATTTTTTTCAGATTGTTTCCTTGGGAAACGGTTTTTGGCAAAAGTGATCTTTTGATTTCGTATAATTAATTAAATATATCACATTTTATATAAAAAATGTCAGTTACACAGGCCAAAAGAGGCGAATCGAAAGATTTATCTACAATTATTTCGTTAAGAGAATTAAATGCCAAGCTTATACTTGAGATTAACGAACTTAGAAAGAAGTATGCTGAGGTCGAGGCTAAAAAGGCTGAGCTTGAGGCCAAGAATACCGAGCTTTTAAATTAAGTGTGAGATAGAGAAAAATAAAATGGATACCACTAACCTTAAAGTCGAAAATGATGAGCTTAGAGGCAGAGTTGAGAAATTGGAACAGAAAGTACACGCGTTCCAAAAGAACAATCTTTGTCTAATATAAATGCTTCTTGTAGAATGAATTCTGATGATACCCTTAAACAGTTAGTTTCACAAAATAAGAGTGATTCTGTATCTGATATATCTGATAATGCAACAAATTCTAATGCAACTAAGTGAATCAACCACAACCCCATCCCATCATATCATACCTCTAATTTGGAAGACACGGAAAGTAAGAAAGTCTTACATAGTGAGGACGTTCTCGCATTTAGATCTTTACCGGAAACTGAGGTAAGCGTACCCGATGAAATCTTAGATTCTAACTTGGAATCACCTGATGATGAGAAATCCTATGATGAAGACGTGAACCAGCTTCCAGTTGAGAATACCTCTGATGCTGACAAAGATTTCTACCATAGCGAAGAATATAATTTCGGCGGAACACTTTCTGACGATAACGATGAAGATGTCTCACTCCGTGAGAATGCTAACGCAACTGGAGATAATGAAAATGATGACGAATTCTCCGAAAACAACAAAGAGGAAGATGATGGAGGATATTGTGATTTCTCTGAAGATGATGAAGGATATTATTATAATTTAAATACCGGTGAAACTTACAAAATCGGATCATTTATTTTGCGCGTATTAATAGGATAAAACCTCATTTATGGAATAGCTGGGAAGCTAGCACATCCGTGGTAAAGATGATCCGCATCCGAGGTTTTTATATTAGCCTTGCCAGCTCCGCTATTGATTTTCAGCGTGTAACTTAATTTTTACCACAGATGTTTTATTTTTTTTCTTTGTTGATGATGAACTTCACTAAGAATAAACATTTCGAACATAATGCTCATAAAAATACCAACTTTATTTTTAAACTTCGTGGGTCAATGCGATTACCAGTAAAGCGATCCACGATTTATCAGAATTACATAATCTCGCTAATTGACGTTCATTCTTTGTCTTTGGAATGATTTGCATGACTATCTTCGATTACGCAAGAATACATACTATTAGTAATGAAGAAATGCTAATACCTGATTACGTTTACTGTCAAGTTAAAAAATCATTCTCGCGTCTTCTCCACTTTACGTGAAAAAAAATGATGATCGAAACATAACCCTATAAAATCATCACTTATCTTAAAAGCTGTTCCACGAAAATTAAGGTAGATATATCACTACATTGTTTGCATGCTAGGTTACCTCTTCCCCACATTCGTGTACACATGCTAACAACCATTTTTTCCGGTTATAGATTATTCTAAACAATATTTCGGAAATTATCCATTTTTGGCCTTTGTATGCCTAATGATGTTCGCTGAGAAAATTCCTGTCCATATGATTTTCGTTGTCACAGGTTCCATCATGTATATCATTAGACAGCAACTTAATACACGTATGGAAAGATTGACCACGAATTTTTCATCACGAGATGCCATATTCGTTGCCGAGGTTCGGAGAATCGTGGTAATGATAAATACCATGAACGAAACTATTAATGAAATCAGGTCAATTATGAATCTCTTTGTCAGTCATATCATACAACTTCCATGGCCTCATTAAGCTTCGAACAAACCGTACCTACATCCAACTCTCCCCGAAGATCTCTGATTCTTCCAGTGGTTCGAGCCAACGATCATTTTCAGATACGACTTCAGAAATCTGGAACCAATTTAAAATTATTTTTGATAGAGTTATGGTAGAAGGAGGATGTTCTTTAGATTATATGTTTAATGTTGTAATAGTTGAACTTCTTAATCTTGGATTGGGAAAAATTGGTGAAGACTCGATTGAAAATTATTATCATAAAATCAATGATTTAAGAGTAACTTACATCGTTTAATTATCTGGACGTCGCCCTTGTTTTACAAAAATGCAATGAAAATGCGCTCAGCCAGATGCTGAATATACAACTGAAGTGTCGTTGCGTGGTGGCAGAACAGCGGACCATTCAAAGAAGTGCGCCTACTGATCATACCATCTTTTCAACAGCACATTACGTCGCCACACAACTGTCCACTGATAGACATCGTAAGTCCACCCTTGAACATCGATTATAACAGATTCAAATTTCGAAACACAACAGAAATATACACACAGACTAGAACAGGTCGTTACGTGGTGGCAATGGGGCGGACCATTCAAAGAAATGCGCCTACTGACCAAACCATCTTGTCAACGAAGCACTAGAGTGCAAACGTCGCCACGCAACCATTCACTGATGTCCACCACCCTTGATACGCCGGTTGTTTTCAAACCGGAACACTGACAGCCTGTGAACGCGTAGCTCTCTATTGAAAAAAAAAGTGATGCAATTCAGAAGTCTGGGTCTTCTTTGGTCTCGTCGGGCGGTTCTCCTTTTCTGCGGATCTCTTCTTTTCGTTGACGGTAGTCTTTTCGGCAGTTCACTTCTTCCTGTTATAGTGGTAAGTCTTCTCGACGTTCTTGTAGCGGTAGTACAGTATTTACATAATAATCGGTAAATTCTATTGGTCTATTTAAAAAAATTCCAATCAAAAATATGCGTGCGGTAATTTGGTAATTTATTATATATGCGAAATATACCCTTTATGACTTTGAAATATGCCCGAAAAAATGCAAAAAAAAAATGCAAAAGGTTAAAAAGATGCGAAAAAAGGAGAAAATTTTATTATGTTTATTAATCCTTATTAAAATATAAAAAATTTAAAATAGAATTGATTCCTCCAATAATTATAAAGACTATAATAATAAAAAATAATTAATAATTAATTAATTCTTTCCTGAAAATAAAAGTTTTCAAATAATATAAATGTTTTTCTATCCAAAAAACAAAATTAAATCAAGAATTCTATCTAGTTTTTGTAGGTAAAGAAAGTAAAGTTGAATTATCAATAAAGGAAAATAAATTTGAAAAAAAATTTTATTTTCTTTTGCAAGAATTATTTTAATATTTTGTATTACAATTTCTAATAATTTAAAATTAATAAACTATATTCAAGTATTACTTACCAAATTTAAAATATGTGCAAAATAACAATTATGTTTTATTTAAGGAATTAAAGGAGATAAAACAGTAAAAACTTTTAATATATATGAAGTATTATTTGAAATAATTAAAATAATATTTTCAAAAAAAAATATCATAAAAATAAATAGTGTGTATAACTAATTGTGCAATAGATAGATTATCTACAATTGTCAATTGTTTAGTTCTAAAAAATTTTGCAAAATTTTTAAAATTAAACAACATTTATAGTTACATATCCACAACTATAAGTTGATTTATCAACAGTAATTGAAATTGCTTGTTCTATTAAAACAATTTTTAAATTTTTTAATTCTATATTATATACAATTAGTAAAAATAAATTAGAAATATATATATAATATAATATAATATAACTTATCACTTTTACAATATTGAGTCAAAAATTGTTTAATTTATCAATTTTCTTTAATTATATGTATATATTTGTTTGAGTGAATGTTTAAACGAAATTTATATTAATCATTTTATAATCATTTGCTAAATCAACTGAATCTATAAATGTAAGTTGGTATATATTTTGTATAGTTTTTTTTTTATTATTATTTTTATGTTTTTTTAGTTTTTAAATATTAATCAATTAAAAAGTTTTTTTCAGAATTTACTATATAGTTGTAAAAAGTATAAAATAATTTTTTGTCTTTTATATAAAAATTTTCTTGATAAAGATTACATTTTTATTAATATTTACTAATAGTAATTATCTTTTTAATATATCTAAAATTATAATAATTAAAAAAACTCTTTCCCATTTCTTCCTACTTTATAAAAATTTTCTTTTTATGAAATTCTCTTTCCCCTTCCCCCTTCTTTACTCTATATGCACTACCAACTTGCAGTAGACAAAGTCTAAGATATGCTGACCCACACGAGGCTCTGTTACCTGACTTGTTAATGTATAGAAAATATTATGTCTAGGGAAATGCGAGCGGACCTGAACTCTGCATATGGTAAATGTTTGAGACAAAGAGAACTGTCCTTTGGAAGCAGGACACTCCTGAAGCAAGGTTTTGTATATGCCTGAGTTATTATAGACAAGAATACTTTTATTCTTCAATTTTTTATTCAACTCCTTAACCTCCCCATCTCTTTATTCTTTCCCTGTTTATACTTATCTCTTCACTTTATACCCTTTCTACTAATGAATAGCTTTTTTCTTTTCCAAGGTTTTCTTCTTAGGCTTCTTACTCCTTTCTTACTGAAATATCTCATTAACCCTATGGAATATCAAGACTTTTCCCTGGTCAAGACAGTGGGCTTAATACAAGAAAAAGATCAAACAAGACCTCTTATAATTAAAAGGTAACTCTGCGGCAAGGGAGGCCATAGTTTCGAAACTCTAGCATACTTTTCTATAATCACTAGCTACTTTACAAAGTCATCTGAATAAAGAAGAGGTAGTAATAGTAGAAATTTTATTTGGCAGTATCAAAAGTATAAGGATTTACTTGCTAAGGACCTAGACTACCATTGCGTTGATCAGAAGTAAACAGCTAGATATAAGCTTTTAATTTGAACACTTGATAATACCATTATCATTCAACTTAGGATATATGACAACAGGATATTCTCTTGTTCAACCTTCTCCCAAGATTTCACAAAAATCGTGGTTAGCTTACCCCCTTCAAAAGATCAGTACAGGATAATTATACTTTATTAGAATAATGATCCCTAGTAAAAAAAGACCTATGGTCTATAGCATGCTTCAAACTGGTTCCCAGGCCCAGTACAATAAAAACCTGATTTCACCAACCAAACCATCATACAAATCACCATACTATCCCAGTGAATACCCTTACCGATCAATAGTAAACTAGCAACTAGATATTATTTACCATTTTTTCTTTTTCTCAATATGAGTTTTCAGAGTTTGTAAGGGTCTACCCATACTGTTAACTATAATTATTCATGTAATAATTATTAGTATTAATTAATAACTTAATTGTTGAATAAAGTTATGCACTTAATGCTACTTATAAAAAAAAATAATTAAAATAAATTTATAATAACTATAATATTATAATTGATCAAATCTAAATAAATATACTATTTAATAAATTAAAAAATTTTATATTAAAGAAATACTAAATTCCTTAATACTCAATAATTATATATTGATTATTATTAATATAAAAATATAATACTTCAATTCTTAGAAAACACCTATTTAAAAACTAATAATAGATATAAGTAATACCTAACAAATAATAAACAATAGAAAATTTTTATTTAAGAAATTTAAAAAAATTTATATAAATAAAACTTCAAATTCAAGTTGATATATTAATAATAAACCATTTTATAAAATTATATAATTAGTATAATAAAACTATATATTTCTAAAAAAAAAAATAACATTAAAATAAAAGAATATAAAAAGAAATCTGAAAAGCAAAAAATCTATTACTCTAAATATAACTATTTAAAAATTAATTAAAAATAGCAGTAAAAATAAATAAAACATTAATATTACTATCAAAATACTTGTAAAAAATTTACAAATATTTAATAATAATCAAAAAAATAAAAAAGAATATTTAAATAACTTTATCTATACCAACTTACATATTATTATAAATTATATAACTTATGTAATTTATATATTATAATTAATTACTTTATATCTAATTATATATATAATTAAATATCGCTGATCCTCCTTTTTCTTAAAATTTCCTTTTTTGGTAATTTTTTGAAAAAAAAGAACAAGATACACTAAACCCGACTCAACAGTACCTACAAGAGCTAACAACTATATAACCCTTCTCAAAAAGACACATACAAGGCTTACAAACAAATCACCAGATAGAAAAGTATATATTTTTCATAACAGTATTACACTTTATTAAAATTTTTGAAAAGAAGAAAGACAAGAAAAAAATCTGAATCACAGTAAAGCCAAAGGATCCAACATCAACTCTCCTAGCTCCTAACCAGGCCAGTGCAGATTAATATCTTTCTAGACATTAGAAGAAACCTTCACAATATAATAGTTTTAACTGGTAAACCAGTTAAAACTCAAAAGTCACAAAGACCCAAGAGGACATCAGAAATCCAAGAGCAACAGCTAGAGAACATAGATAGCAAAACAGTTGCAACACATAAACAACAAACATGTAATGCAAACATGTATACATCCTTATAGTATACTCAAACAAAAACAATATTTATGTAATATGTCTTAATACAACAAACATAACACGTATCCAAAACTTATCAACAAAGTTGTATTCTATATAACCAGTTACCCCACACGGATCAATGAAATAATAAACAATAGATCAATACCAAACAACAAACAGGCAAACAACTAGTAAAATATATGTTTACTTTATATTGATTAACCAAAATATAACAACAACTGATAAACTCAAAAGTTTGACATCAAAACAACATATTTGGTAAACAAGTAAACAAAAGTAAATTTGTCAAAACAGTAAATCCAATAAAAAAACATGTAATATAATATAAATAATACAGTAGCAAGTATAAATAGAGCTCAATGAATACTGCAAATAGTAAACAAAAGAAAAGAGGATATAGTTGACATCTTAGTCAAACTTTTACAAAAATATGATGAGCATTTAAAGTTATAGGCCTCCCAACAACTGCTACAACAAAGAGGAATTAAACCTAATGAAGAAGTAGCTGCATTGCCTGAAACATATACAGTCTTAAACAATATTATTATCAGATATTGGTAATTAATAAAACAATCTTTCACAAAAAATGGATTTTAACTTAACACCTATTATATCTTTGGCAACTGGGAAAAAACAATAAAGAAGATCTTCTTCAACACTATATAGAAGATAGATTTTTAGAAATTATCAAAAATCCAGAATAAATATATAGATCCAAATCTTAACCAATGGATATTATTGAATATATAGACAGTAAATCAATAATAGATAATGAAATCACAATAATCTGTGCCCAAGAACAAGAAGAGTTAGATTCCTTAAGACTCCAAAAAAAAATTAAAAGCCACTGTATAAGTGAACACAGCTCATATGCTACTAGAAACAGGGAACTGGCCTCTCTAACAAATCCATATTTCTTAAAGAAAAAAGAAAACTATAGACTTGGAGTGATGATAGCTAACATCCCAGAAGAGTCTGAAAAGGAAACCAAGGCTTACTTAGGCAATATAGTAAAATTG